AGTAATTTATCTGTACATAGAATAAACAGCTTTATTTTTGATGGGGATGTTTTTGTTCTGTTGGAACCTCGCAGGGGATAAGAAACCCACGAGTTTTTTATTTTTAATTTTTTTTCTTTTTAATAATAAAATAAAAATAATAAAAAGACTTTGGACTGGGATCTGTTTTGCTGATTTTTGGGGGTTTATTTTTATTTTCCAACCTGGAAAGCTGAAAGGACAAAACCAAAATTCTGATTTTTGGGACCTCGGTTTGCTGCTGCCATCACTGCCAGCCCAACCCCAAAGCTGATCAGGAAAATCCAGGAAAATCCAGGAGTTTCCTGGGGTTTCCTGGATTTTTCCTGGATTTGCTGAATTCTGGCCTCAATGCACAAAAAAAAAAAAAAAAAATTCCCAGGATTTAATTCCAGGTGGAGCCAGGTTGGGATCAGGAGGGGATTTCTGGTCTTGGGGTCAGATTGGGAACAGGAGAGATGGGAATTGGGAATTCAGGGATGGGAATTGGGAATTCAGGGATGGGAATTGGAAAATTCAGGGATGGGAATTGGGAATTCAGGGATGGGAATTGGGAATTCAGAGAAATTCAGGGATGGGAATTGGGAATTGGGAATTCAGGGATGGGAATTGAGGAATTCAGGGATGGGAATTGGGAAATTCAGGGAAATTCAGGGATGGGAATTGGGAATTCAGGGAAATTCAGGGATGGGAATTGAGGAATTCAGAGATGGGAATTCAGGGATGGGAATCTGGGATTTATTTGGAATTTATTCCAGAACATCCTGGTTGGTCTCTTCCAATAATAATTAATAATAATTGATAAGGATAAGAATTTATAATTTATTAACGATAACATAATAATTAATAATTCCATTTGACAGCTCAGCTGTTCACACCTGGGGGGTTTTTGTTTGTTTTGTTAAAGGGATCAAATCTTCCAATCCCACTTTTTAATTTTATTTTTTTTTTTTTTTCCTTTAAAACACTCCAAGAAATTTCCCTCAGAAAATTTTCCCCCCAGCTCAGGGGCAGCAACAAGGAAATAACCTGAAATAAATCGGGATTTCACCCCAAATTCTGCCCCAGGGCCACCCCTGAGCCCCTGGGATGCCCCAAACCCGAGCTGGAAAATCCAGAAAAATCCCAAAAGTGACAAAAATCCCCCAGGGGAGGGGATCGATCCAGCCTCGGGTCAAATCTGATTTTTCAGAGCTGCTTGGAGCAGGAACAAAACAAAATTCCAGCCCCAGGGGAAGGCAGAGAGTCGGGGACAGAATTTCCTGTGCTGCAATCCTGGGGGTAATTAAACACCCTCGTGCCATTAATGACGGCCGTGGTTTCACATTTCTGGCATTTCTGCCTGTCACTTAAATTTTTTTTTTCCTCATTTTTACCTGGTGATGAAGCCACGGAAGGGAGACAGAGCCCCAGAAACCCCAGGGAAATTTTATTTTATTTTATTTTATTTTTTAAATCAGATTTTTCTGTGTCATTCAGTGCCCCACAGCTCAGCCTGGAGAAGGAAAACAGGTTAAAAAAATGCTGATTTTAGTCAATCCAGGCAAAAAAACCAAGCTGAGAAAGGAGGATGGAAGGAATTCATCCGGATTTTTATTGAGAGAAAGGAAAAGGCAGAGAGAGGAGCAGGAGCTCGGGAATGGCCCAAAGGGATTGGAGAGAGAATTCCCAGGAAAGGGAATAAAAAACCTGGGCAGGGAGGGAGGAGGGAGGGAAGGGAGAGTTTATTTACAGCCAGGGCAGAAAGGGGCTCTGGGGTGGCCAAAAATCCTTCTGAGGTGGCCAAAGGAGCTCTGAGGTGGCCAAAAATCCTTCTGAGGTGGCCAAAAATCCTTCTGAGGTGGCCAAAGGAGCTCTGAGGTGGCCAAAAATCCTTCTGAGGTGGCCAAGGGAACTCTCAGGTGGCCAAAAATCCTTCTGAGGTGGCCAAAAAGGAACTCTCAGGTGGCCAAAGGAGCTCTCAGGTGGCCAAAGGAGCTCTCAGGTGGTTCAAACTCCTCAGAGATGCCCAAAAATGACTTTTCTGGCCTGGCCACAGTCCGTGTCTCTGTGCCCAGGTGTGTCCAGGTGTCCCCAGGTGTCCCCAGGTGTCCCCTCCGTGCCCCGGGAGCCACCTTGGCCACCCCCGCCCCACTGGGAATTTTTGGCTCCCAATTCCCCGGGAATTCCCCATTCTGGAATCTCCAAAAAATCCCATTTTTTCCCCCTCAGAGCCCCCCCCGTCCCTCACCCCCGGGGTTGTCACCGGCCCTGCTCGGTGTCACCTCCCCCCAGCCCTGCCACAACCCCAGGGACACGCGGCCAGGGACGGGAATTCCCGAGAAAATCCCGGAATTCCCATTGGGGGCAGCAGTCCCGTGCCTTTCCCCCGGGCTCTCCTTTAAAATACTCCAAGGAATTTCCCATCTCAGAGGCAGCAACACCAAAATAAACTGAAAATTTACGGATTATCTGGAAAACCAGGCAGAGCTCATCCCAGCCGGAAATCCAAAACAAAAATCCAAATCCAGGAATCCAAACCTCAAAAATCCAAACCCAGAATTCCAAATCCAAAACTCCAAACCCAGAATCCAAACCCAAAAAACCAAACTCAGAAATCCAAACCCAAAAATCCAAACCCAGGAATCCATACCCAGAATCCAAACCCAAAAATCCAAAACCCAAA